TAGAGTAACATGTTCAAAAGACCAGTTAGGGTGGGGAAAATACCCAAACACACAACTACTCCAGACAGGAGATAACAAGATTCAGCATTGGCAAAAGACTGCCTGAGAGCAAAGCTCTTACAGTTACTTTAAGTGATCATTCAATAAGACAATTTGCCCTTTAACGTTTTCCAAGTAAGAGTCCTTTAAGGACGTTTGGTTGGTTGTTTCTAAGTGTCTGTGATTCCTGGTGCACCAGCACACTCCTTGTGGCACTGAGTAAGCAGGAACATTCCTGTTCGTGGTCAGTCTGAAGAGCATATTACCATAGGTGATGGTTATAGTGCTACTTTGATTCCTTAAACACTGGGAACCATTTACATTAGTAATTCAAATCCTCAGAACAGCAAACAGCTTCATCTGGAAGCAGTCCAGTTAGAGCAATTGTGTGCTCTGCAGAAGAGGTCTGTGAAAAGTGGGATATTATTTTCACTTTTCTACAGGCGTCTGCAAATCAAAATAGTATGGCTGTGTGTTTAAATCAAATACTGTATCTTCATAGTATTACAGGGAAATATTGCTATGCTTGTAAGGGATAGAATCTTTTCCATAGTGATATTCTGGCAAGGAGTGAACACAGTATTGGATAATCATCCTGATACTAGTCTTGGCAAAATGCAAGCTACTTGTAATTAAAAGCTGCTTTCAGATGTATATGTAACTTGATCTAGCTGACGTCAGGTAAGTCTGTGCCCATTTTTGGAGGAAATTCTGTTTGGGCAGTTTGCTGTCAGCCTGCCGACCTGTGCCTCAGGTAACTGCCATAGGACTAAACCATGATGACTATAAAATGTCTTTCCTTCCTGTAGTGCCAGTTTGACCCAGCAGATATGTAGGTTAATATATCCTGGAGGTAGTTTGCTAACAGTTGCATGGAGAGGAAAATAATTAATTCTATACACTAAATACAGAAAGAACTTTATCAAAGCCAGTAGGTTGTCCTCCTGCCCAAGAGTAAAAGGGCTGACAGAGTTTAAATTGCAGCAAGGGAGGTTTTGATTAGCAAAAAGCAGTGGAATACCCTGTACAATCTCCATCCCACCATAATTAAATGCATTAATAATTCTGTTTAAGCAGAGGACCAGACAAAGTGTAGAGCATTTTGGTTCCAGCTGGTCCTGCCATGGCAAAATAGGAAGAATTTGGAGCTCCTGTTATGCCACCTGTGTGCCTACTTCTTGCAGTGCTGCAGTAAACCACACAGGATGGGTAGTAGTGTCTGAATAACAGGTAAATTTTGGATCTTGCCTTCCCTTCCACCATTCAGCAGTACCTTTCAGTTACAGATGGAACACTTGTTTACATGTAGCAGTTCCTATCAATGACTGCAGCCCAAGGGTATTAAACCAGCAGATACATTTCATTTACAGACAGACAAGCCTTCCAGTACTCTTGCTGTTTGAGATGCCTCCTGGCTGCCCACCAGTCCACCCCAGCATCCTCCTAGTCCTGCTTGTGGCTGCCCTGAAGCCACCAAGGTCATGACATGTCCTTGGCTGCAGCTTTGGCCATGCCCAGTCAGGAGTATCACTGCTGCATTCATTGCCCTGCCAGTTCTCATAGACTCTGCTTTTGTGGAAGATTATATTAGTTTTTATAACCAAGGCACTCTAGAAAGAAATTTAATGCCTATTCTAACCTTCTTCTGCTGAGGCCCCTGGTGATCCTCAGCCCTGCCCATGGTCTGGATCCAGTCTCTGGGCTGCTCCAGGAGCAAGAAGGAAACAGCTCTTCATACCCAACACCTGCCTTGCTCTGCGCCTGGAGATTTTTTAATCAAGCAACATTTGCATCCATTTAAACAGCAGCAGCCTTAAGTTTTGCCTTCCAAATACAGCCTATGACAGTTTGTATTCATCTAAAGGCCACTGCAGATTTTAGATGTTTACCTGAACATGACTCAATCAAACAAAGCAATGCTTCCCAGAGAACCCATTTCACCTCATCAACATTTCCAGGTAACCAAACTTTGTGCTCATGTCTAGTGATGGCAGTAGATGAAGGTTTGAGCTGTTGGATCTGGTCAGTAGTGGGTTTTGGTCACTGTAGTTAGTATTGTGTCTAAACCAATCCAGCAGTAAAAAACACTGGTGTGTCTGTAAAGCTCACATCTCCCAGATCTTTTCTCAAGCTGCCCAGTCCTGAAAATCTTACATGTATCAAGAACATTATCACAGCCTCATATAATGGAAATTATGAACCAAAACTGGGGAGCCGAGCTTTACCTGGTGCAGTGATCACTAACATTCATCCCTGTGTAAAAATGTCTTTGTATGGATAAAATTCAACTACGTAACTGAAGGTATAATTGCTTTTTACATATTACAATGGCTGGAGAAAGGCAAATGCTGTGCCCATCTTTGAAAAGGCTGAAAGAATCATCTGAGAAACTACAGGCCAGGTGGTATCACTTCAGTGCCAGGGAAAACCATAGAGGAAGTTCTTTTGGAGCATGTTTTTGGGCACAGCCAGTATGGATTTCCTGAGGACAAACCATGCCTGACTCACTGCCCTCTACAACAAATTAACATTGTAGACAAGGGAAGGAGCAGTGGATGTTCACTTCAGTTGTAGCAGTGCTGAAAGCCTTGTCTCACACAGTATCTTGCCCCCAGGTTAGGATGTGACAGCCACAGAACAAGGTGGGCACAAAAGCTGTCTGGATGTTCAGGCTCAGCCTCATGGCCAGTGGGCTGGAGTGAGAATCCCAGGGAGCTGCCCTGGGATCATCCTTCTCATTGCCCTGGGGCAGCTGCAGGGTGTGCTGTCAGCAGAGCTGTGGGTGACACTCAAGTGGGAGGACCAGCCCACACACCTGGGGCAGGGCTGCTCTCCAGGGGGATGACAGGCTGGGCTGAACCTGGTGAAATTCAACAAGAAGTGCAGAGTCCTGCCCAGGCAGGGAAGGAGTCCTTGCAGGCATAGCTGAGGGGACTCAAATGCCTCCAGGCCCTGGCAGGTGAAAAGGTGAGCGTGAGCCAGCAGATCCCAGGCTGTTTGAGCTGGACCACAGCCTGTAGAAGGGAAGAGTATTCCTCCCAGCAGACCTCATCTGGACTACTGTGTGCTGTTTGGGGTTCCATTCACCCCCTACAAGGAGCACACTGCCAAGTTTCAGTGAGTTCAGCAGAGGACACACAATATTTGGGCTTGGAGCACATGCCTGGGAGGAAAGGCAGAGGGAACAGGGAAAAGGATAGCGCTGGGGAGACCTCCCAGCAGCTAGCCACTTCCTACCAGGAAGTTACATGGAAAATTCTGACACAGGCATAGGCAGGGAGACGCAGGGTAGAAGCCTAAAAGAGAGAGAGAGAGGGTTAAGCTTTTTTTGAGGGCCACAAAAATGAACAGAGGGCTGGAGCACCACTCCTGTGAGGAAAGGATGAGTTGGGGTTGTTCAGACAGAAGGTTCCAGGGAGACCTTTTTGCAGCCTTTCAGTACGTAAAAAAGCCCTATGAGACAAATGGGGACGGATTTTTTTGCCAGGACCTGTTGTAATAGGTCAAGGAGTAGATAAAAGGCAGCTTCTTTACAATGACGGTGGACAACACTGGCACAGGCTGCCCAGAGAGGTGGTGGATGCCTCATCCCTGGAAACATTCAAGGTCTGGTCGGACAGGGCACTGAGGAACCTGATCTGATTGAAGATGTCCCAGCTCATTGCAGACCAGTAGGACTACACAGCCCTTAAATGTCCCCTTCAACCCAAACCATTCTGTGATTCTGATTTTTCAGTCTGGAGCCAGTCAAGCATTGGAGGAGGTTGCCCAGAAAGATTATGCATTCCACATCCTCAGAGGTCAAGACCACACTGGAGAAACATAGGTCTAAGTAACAGTAATTTCACAGCCAGTGGGGTGAAGTGAGCTCGTGGGTCCTTCTGACAGGAATGATCCTGTGACACAGAATGCAGGAACAGCAGCAGCACTCAGTACTCCCAATCCAGTAAGTGCTGTTCCTGGATAGCTGCTGTTCTCTAGTTCCATCCTTTATGTGGCTATATAAAGAACAAAACCAGTACTTCTTTATGCTTAGAAAACACTACAGCTCTGAAGGCACTCTGTGACTCAACAAGCGATGACATGACAGGCTCCTCCAAAGACACAAAAATCAGGCCCTCAGAAGATGACTCAGAGCAAGTTTTTCCCAAGAAACCTAACTGGCTAACTCAGAAGAGGGCAGGAAAAGGACAAGAGGAGTGTTAAAACTTTTCCTTACACACCAGGGAGGAACTATCCCAGGTGTTCTCACATTCCACTTCACCTTGTACAGATCAGCTTTGAGTACAGAAAGGGGTTGTTCAAGAGCTGTTCTGCATGAACAAACAGTGCAGGAGGTTATGAAAATGACACCAGAGCAGCTAATTTCTTAAGTTGTTTATTTATCATTGAAGAAACACACAGCAGCAAGTTCTGTGTTGGCTTCAGTGTGACCAGACCGTTAATCGTTGTTATCGCACCTCAGGTTTGAAGTCAACACAGCCATTACTACAAATCACTTTTTTTTTTGGAAAGGGAAAGAATTGACCCTGAAGACAAATAATTGGGGGAAAATTGAACAACTTCTCCAAACCCACACATTTTAAATATGACAATATTTATAAATCCTTGAAAGGCATGAATTATCCAGTGATGGAAGAAGCAGTTGTGACATTGGCAACAGAAAGTACATAGCCATATGCTTACCAAAACACTGAGATTGTAAAAAGCTGCAAGTCTGGAGATTGTACACTGCAGCAGTGTATGTGGAACTGGAACAATGACTGCAAAATGGCCTCAGAGGCATCATGGATTCAAGTAAATCTATGGAAAATATCCCAGTGTAGCTAATGCTCATAATGTTTATTGTATTTCATTCAAATTTAAATAACTTACTGAATTTAGACAGTGATAAAATACGTCCCAGAAACCGCCTGCCCTCACAGATACCTATGTAAAAGAGCGCTTTCTATTTTTTGGCTAATTAAGCAAATTCATTTAGCTCTTTTTCAGTAATTCCACTGTGTGAACAGAGGTGTTTTCAAATGCATGTTCTGTGACGATAATACCCCATTCCAAATTAAGAAAGGCTAAAAATAAAAAGGGCAGCCTGTTTGGGTGCGAGACAGAAGCAGTACTGAAGTACAGCTGTTGGGCTTGCTTCTTTTTATTTTAGCAACAAATGACCCATGAAATAAGCATCATTTCAAATTTCAAAAAAATGGCATTCAATTTCCAACCTTCTGCTGTGAGTTTTGTGCATGACCAATCTATATGAGTAAGTAATTCAAGCTCATGCTTTCATGTTACCTCAAAACATTGGTTAAAGAATTCCAATTCAGAATGTTTATAAGCACAAATATAATCTGTGGATTCCATCAAATCAAAGCTAAAACATTGGTTAAACTCTGTGATTTCCACTTAACGTCGTACAGTGGTCCACCCTTCTTCATCTGTCTCATTTTTGACACGGCGTACGGGCTCACGCTCCTTCTCTGTCTTCCAGGAGCCTTTCTCCTTCTCCCCATCCCTTTCTCGCTCTTTGGATGCTGGTGGGGGAGCAGCAGCAGGAGGAGCAGCAGGAGCAGGGGCTGATCGCCGAACTGGTTCGCGTTCTTCCCCACGTTCTTCCCTCTTGTCATCAGCACGGCGCCACGAGCTCGCTGCGGCACACAGAGACAAGAAACAATTTGGTCATGCTCCTCCAGCAGCCTCCGAGAGTTTAAACAAACAGGCCCAACCCCAGCTGTCTGATTCAGGGATTCTCAGTCTTGCCAAGAGGTAATACAGTGCTGACAGCCAAATGGTTCCATTTCCTAGTGAAGGAATGGCAGGAGCTACTCAAATCTCTTTTCAGATTCGGATTGTTGGGAGCAAACCCCAGTGTCCTCTTTAAAACACAGGAACTGCAATAACTGTTCTACTGATGTACATGGTTTTATGATGTAAAAATATATTATTATCAGCAGAATTAGAAGCACAGAAGTGTCTCCTTAGAAATGAATGAACCCTGAAAACAGAAAAATCCTGACTTAAAAACACCTGTGAAAAAGGTTTAGGTGTTCAGTGTATTAAGAGACAGCAAATTACTCTTCAGCCTACTGAAGTCAAGAGGTAAAATGGGACTGAATTACATGACTCCGCTGGTAACAGCATTCACCACCCTTTGCTACATGAACTGTTCGCTGCCACCAAAAGGATGTTAAGAGTTCTACCCCAGCTGTGTGTGGCCAAAGCTGTGGCATATGCCAGACAGACAGTCAATATCAAAACTCCTTGATACATTAAATAAAAGTCTCCACACTGAGCACACTCAGCTTTTCCTGTGTATGATCCCATGCTCTGTTTCAGCCTGCTCCATGTGCAGGAGCACTCACACTTGGGGCAGACACAAAACGAGGTTCTGAGCGTGAGATTGCCAGAATTAGAAGACATAGTGGTCTCTCAGGCTGAATAGATTTGCTGCTACTGTATTTTTAGAGCACAGCAAAGGATTAATAAATATCCAAAATTAAAGCAGGTTAATGTCTGCAATTAAAACAGGCTATTCAACAAAATTAATTCCATTAATAGTGTGAAACCCGTAAGGCCTCGTTTCCAAGTATTTCCCTCACGTTTTAATGGCTTTAAGAAAAGGGCCAGAAATTACTTTCTGGGATGTCTGGCTTGATAATTTAAGCACAAGGATTTCATTCACCCATAGTAGGAACAGAATCCTACTATGAAAAGTGCAGACTTGAAACGTCCTTGTGCTGTAGCTGTGAAATGCTGCTTAGATAGAGAAAAACAGAACCACAAAACATTAAGATTCACTGAAGAATTCCCAATTGCCCCAAAGCTTCCTGTTATTGCTTCACGGAGTTTCAGTGGCTGAAACTGTAACCTGTTCCCATCTGCCCCCACCCCAGCCCCACGAGGGCTCTCTGAGGAGCACCAAGCCCACGTACGCTCCTCGCGGTCGGCTCTGAGCGGTGGTCCCCGTCTCAGCGGTGGCTCTCTGTCATCAGGACGTCGATCCCTCATATCGCGACCACCTCTGTCCCATTCTTCACGACGACTTGAATCTCTCCAGCTAGAAGTTTCCTCAGCTGGTCCTCTTCTCCAACCAGCATCATCCCTGTGGCCGTTCAAAACATAAGACTAAATGTTACTATTTTACCTTTGCTATGGAAAGAGGCAATAATAAATCACAACACAGATATTTTCCGACCCAGTGGGTCTCTATTTAACACACTTCCAAAATTGCTTTTGCTTTCCTGGAGCTTAACATGGAATTCTCTTGATAACAGGTTAAAAAAAAAGGGGAAATAATTAAAAGCAGTAAAGCATTTTCAGATTCCTTCTGTAAAGAGATAACACTGTCTTCAAAATAGCAAACCCCAAAATGCCACTATAAAGTGCTTAATTTCACACAGACCAACCCTTGTTCTTTCGCTTGGCAATTCCACCTCATTTCCTTATCAGCAGGACACTTTTGTTTTTGAGCAGAAAGATGAAGTGTTTAGGCAGGAAAGCCAGACCTGGGACGCCTGAAGCGATCGTCTCGATCAAAATCTCTCTCTCTGTCGAATTCCCGATCTTTCTCATTTTCATCCCGGTCTTTGTCCCTGTCCCATTCCCGGTCTCCCGGAGGTCTGGAGTCTCGTGGAGGGCCCCAGCTGTCCTCACGAGCCTTCTCTCGTTCTCTCCACCCCCCTGTAAGAAAGAAACACAGTCAAAGGAATTTGTGACTGACCTCTGGTCTCTCTGTAGACAAAGAATCCTTTGCTTCCCGCACAGAAACTGGTTCTTCGAGTTTTGATCCCCAAGGATCCAGCTCAAGATGCTTGTAAAAAAGTGTGTGTGAGCCACAGACAAAACACTGTAGAAACTGCTTCATGTAAAGCCAGTAACCTATACCTCATCTATCAGGACTGACTTTAACAGTTCAGCGGAGCTGATTAAACCCGGCAGTTTGCAGTCAGAAACCACAAACTCCTCAAGGGTCTCATGCAAAACAAGTGCAAGAAGTAAAGGAGTAGCTTAGACAGAGGATTCCTTTGTGAAAAATCCACAAGAGACGAGATTTTAATCAAGCAGATTTTTAAAGAACTTAGGGCTTATCAAAGCACTACTTTAAAATATGACTCCCTAATACAGCACACCCTCAATATTGCTCAGTTATTCATGACTGGGAGTTCCTTACTATCCAGCCTGCTTTGGCTTTAAACAAGAAAAATTGGAGTGCCAGTTTTGGTAATTATGACAACTTTCTACAGGTTTGGATTATAGAATTAGTATCTATAAAAGCTGATGTGGTGCCTCAGAATAGTAAAAAGAAAAATAAGTAAAAAGACCCAGCAAATCAAAATCATATCTGACATTTAAATGCTGTTAACAGTTCTGAAAAGAATCAGAAAGAGTTGTTCCAGTCACCATGAACAAGACTGAAGACTAGAAATAAACAATACAATAGGATGATTCAGATTTCAAGGGACCTCAGAAGGTCACCTAGTCCAAACTCCTGCCCCAAGCAGGACTTTCAAGAAGGGTCAACACAAAAAAAGAAAGGTAAAAAGCAAGAGTATCTTTGTGCACATAAAAAGGGCTTATCAAAACCAGACCCACTTCAATCAGCTACCAAAATCCTCCTTAGAAGGAGGTTAATTTCAGACATACAAAAGGGGCAGGGAAGGAGTCCAAGGGATGCTAATCCAGTGAGAATGTTTCTCTCCCATCAGAACATTCAACTTGTGTGTCTTGGTTTTTTGGCACACCAGGATGTGACCACCATTACGATGGGACCTTTAGGTATCTTCCAGGCAAGCCACAGACACTGCTTCAATTTTATTAGTTCAACCAAAGTAAAAGGTTTAATTATACTAAGTAATGGGGTGTTTGCATTAGCCAAATTAATCCAGATGTTTTCAGAGCTGATTCTCCCATCTCTGGCACTGAAAGCAGTATGTCACAGGTCAACATACACTTTGGAGGGAAGATTGTTGTATTACTCTATTTTACCTGGTTTACCAAATGGTCTCCAAGGTCCTGGCCTTGAATCATCACCACTACGCCACGGACCCCTGTCATCATCTCGCCTGGAGAGCCTGTCATCGTCGGCATTGCGCCACGGTCCCCTGTCGTCGTCCATCCCACGCCTGGGGCCTCTGTCATCATCCATCCCACCGCGCCGGGGACCCCTGTCATCATCTGCAGCTCGCCAGCTGCCCCGGTCCTCATCCAGAGCACGTCTGGGGGGTCTATCATCATCCAGAGCACGTCTGGGGGGCCTATCGTCATCCA